TCTCAGAGACCCCCGGGTTGGGACGGCCCCGACGTCCCCGATCCTGTCCGGGCTTCTGATCTGCGGGCCATGGACCTGAGCCTGGCCGCGGAAGCTCAGGCACAGGCCCTTTGAAGTCGCTTCTGTGGGGCGGCGCCCCAGCCGGGAGGAGGGGGGCGATCCTGATGGGGGATGGGGCCGCGCTTCGCTCAGAGACCTACCTCCTCAAGATCCTGGCAGGCAAACCTGCGGCTCCAACCCTCCATGTGAGGAGCCCTCTGAACAGAGAGCACTGATCTCAGAACCCCGGGCCTGAGCAGGCCTGGGCCAGAGATACAGACCCGGGACAACAGCAGGCAGCGCCAAGGATGGGGGTGGAACAGGCAGGTACCCAAATTAGTTTGGGGAAGCCAGGAAGGCTGCCTGAAGGAGGTGACCCCTGACTCAAGTTTAGAAGCAAGGTGCTTTGTCTTTCCAGGTGTTCTTGCTTCCCCAGGACACTCAGGCCTTCTCTTGCTGCGAGCTTCTCCCAGGCCATCTCCTTGTCTGCACAGCCCCCTCCCTTCCTCTGCAAGGAGCTTCGTTTCTCCAGGCTTTCTGGCACAGGAGCAGCTAGAGTGGCTGGGATAGTGGTTGTGTGGTGTGGAAGGAAGTGGAAGTGGAAGAATGTGCAGCCCTTCTCTCCCCAAGGTCTTCTCTCCGTTCCTGACCATCATTCTCCAGGGATGTCTTTGAACAGCCTCTGCAAGTGCCATAGCTTGTACACGGCCCCGCCTACCAGCCTCTGGTTCTCTGGGCACCTCCGCCTGGGCTACATCAGGGAGACACCATTTCATTTGCTTCTCCAGACCCTGTGGAGGCCCCTAATTCACCTGACATTCTTGACAACCCTGTGTGCCTTTTTAGCCAAGCTCTGTGTAAGGGCTCTGCTCTTAGGATGCTCCCAGTTTGTGGGGTGAGATGTGTCTACTGGGTCCCTAACACCTCCCAAGGAGGAGGACCCCTTGAGATATGCAGACCCAGGGAAGGAGAACCCTTCAGGGTGAAATGTGGATGCCTCTCTGGGAGGTGGGGTGCTGCTATTTGTTCAGTTGGGAGAGAAACAACATGAATGGTGTGTGTGGCAATGGTGTGTATATGGGGGGTTCTAGATCCACAGAGCACTGGCCACTGGACTCTCAGTACTGTGTGGTGAAAGAGTTTTCTGCTCAGCCCTATGCAGACTAGGGGCTCATGTGGACAGAGCTGGAAGGATCAGCAGTAGAGTTGGTCTCAGTATGGTCTCTCTGAGGTCTGTAGATCAGAAGATTCCCAGGACTTAGACCCCATTAAATGGGGTAGAGAGTGGGGGCAACCATCACTTATTATTGGCTGTCCCAAGAGTTGGGCATACAGGATGGTCTGTGGCCAGAGACCCCTCATCTGGACTCTAAGAGCCACAGTGGATGTAAACCGTGCAGAGCTCTGCTGGGAGTAGAGAGTCTGTGGAAATTCCCACTCAATGCTTCCCATAGTGGATTCCTGAAACTCCTCCTCAGACATTGCTTGCATCTCCCAATTTACACATCCCCAGGGACTACCAACCCCCCTCCCCCATCCTGAGATCCCCTCTTTGCCTGTTTACTTCTGTCTGGGGAGAGTGTGAAGTGGTCCTCTTGAATATAATCTTCCCGGCTCCTCAGCCTCTGTGCATTGTAATCCACCTTGAAAGGCTCCTCTCACCAGGCTGGAGATGGTGGTGGAGAGGAGAATGGCCCTTCTAGAACCTGGTACATACACTTTCCCATTTCACTCTGCAGTGTCTGGGCAGCTTGGAGTGATGCAGGATGTCCAGGTCCATGCCAGTCACCCCTGCATATGGGCTCTAGATGACATCCCTGACTTGAGAGAATATCAAGACCCACCTGTGAGAGCACCCTTCCACAGGAGAGAGACCTGGGCCAGGCTGTGCTCCTGGAGGCTGGGGGTAGCCCTTCTTAGGGGCCACATTGTGGGCCCGTACCTGAGGTTCCCTGGGTTCTGGACAGAAAAGCAGCATGTCCAATGGCTTCTCCAACTCCTCCCCAAATTTTCCTCCAGGAAGTCCCCAGGATTTCCTTTTCCCCTTTAATGGGCTTGGTCCTGGAGGATTGCTGTGTTGGTGAGCTCTTATTGTGTTGGGGTACCAAGCCACGGGAAGCCACAGGGTCTGGAAGCCCTCTTCAAGCTGGAGATGGGTAGTTAGGTCATACCTCACATCTGTCCTGGTGGCCTTCACGTTTGCTGCACACTCTACCAGGTATCTGTGTTGCTGGATATAACCAGACTGCTCATTTCATGGATTCTTTATTCATTCAACAAATATATAGTGAGTGTTCTCCATATGCCAAGGCCTGTGCCTGCCCAGGGCTGTGGTCGAACCATTCATAATTGTGTCTTTCATATTTATTTATGTTTCCCCAGCACCCAGCAGAGAATCTGGAACACAGAAGATGTTCAAAAACATTTGCTATTAACATTATCACTGTCATGAGAATTATCATCTTGGCTCACCCCTTGGCAGTGACCCAGAGGGAGGAAGGGAGGGCATAAGGGGGCTTAGGAGGGTGAAGACTTCTGCTCCTCTTGCCTTGGAGGCCACACCCAGTGGCCCTGTCCTTCAGGGGAGCCCCAAGTGGCTCAGGGCACAATGCCCAGGCCCTCTGTGTGTGGCCAGGTCTGTCCAAGGTCAGAAGAAACCATAGTGCTCTTTCCTTGATGGGCAGCCAGGGCTGGCAGGCTCCAGCAGGAGCAGACACCTTGGGAGAGGCCCTTGAGCCTGAGCCTAGGGGGAGGGAGAGGGAATGGGCGGGACAGGGGCAACCTCAGGCTGAGGGCGAGGTCAGCCTAGGGGACAACTCAGGAGACTGCCCAGAGTGGGACACAGCCTTGTGTGGGGGGTGGAGTGAAGCCGGTGGGGCATACTTGAGGATACCTTCCTGTGAAGCAATGGGGGGTTGGCCAGAGAGCTCAGACACTGATTTGCTCCACCCTGGCCCAGTAGCCACAGGTCTCTGGGTGGAATCTGCCCCATTCAGGCACAGCTCCTTGGGGTCAATGCATCCCTCTTTCAAGGACCAGCCCCTTCCTCCAGCCAATAGCCTGGAATCCAAGGGGATCTGGATCCTTGATGGGAAGTTCCTTCTTCTGGGAATGCCCAGGCCACAGTAGTGACCACTCTGGGTCTGAGAAAGCAGCCAGAGAAGAGAAATTGAGAAGCCCCCATTTCCATGTGGTTTGTCTGGCCCAGCTCCAAAACTCCATGTCCTCTCCACCATACAGATTCACAGGCTCCTGACCTTGGCCAGCAGGCCTCTTGGAGAACAGACCTCAGAATCAGCTTTGTCCCTGTTTGAGCCCTCAGAGACTAGATCCTTCTAGGGGAGAGGACAGTAATCTGTGGAATTCCAGCAGAGCTGGATGGACAGGGGCTGTCGGGGCCTTCTGGAGGGCTAGAACTGGGACTTATGATAGGGAGCCAAGTCAGGCCCTAGGCAGGTGCTGGGGGCTCTGGAAGGGGTGGAGGCAGCCAGGTCATGGGAACCAGGCAAAATCCAAAAGGAAGGTCTGGGGTGGTATATAGCCTATGAGGTGGGTTGGGGCTCCTGGGAGAACAGGACTCAGTCAAGGAGGCAACAATGAGCTGTTTTTGGTTCAGAAGAACACACAGGGGAGGGCGTGTCTGTGACAAAGGGAGTTTCCCAGCTCCAGTTTTGTGCCATTCAATCCCTCAACAAATACTTATTGATTGCCTGCTGTAGTCTAGCCTAGACCTGGTCAGCTAGACTTGGGGGTGGTGGGACTCCCCCAATTGCCACATCTCTCTGGGGCTGAGAGGCTGGAGGCTCTAGAAGGATCTAGGCTCTGAGGGCTCAAACAGGGACAAAGCTGATTCTGCTAACTGGGGCTAGTTACTGGCCCTAAGCCAGATTCCAGGGCAG